ACCTAATGGGCACAATGTAAGGGTATTTGGCATATTTCCTGGGTAAAGGGCTCAACTACAATTTGGACTCTATCTAATAAATGCAAATAATGTAACCTAATCATTTGTACCCTCATATTAATCTGAAATCTAAAAAAGATAACCTTCCAGGGCTGGATATCTTAAATTCTTAGAAGGTTCTTCCTTATACTGCTTTGAGTTCTATTCTTTGTCACGTCACTCAGTCTAGTTCCTTCTAAAACTATACATAAAGTCTAATTCCTCTTTCTCTTGATCTTCCCATATTCTATATTCTGCTTCAAGTTTCTTTTTGAAGCTTGACATATTCAGTTCCCTTCATCTTACAGACATGATTTTTACACCCTTTGTCATTCGCATCACACAACCTTTAAAGTACTTCAGTTTGTCAAATGGCCTTCTCAAGATCAAGGCTTGGAACTATTCAGTAATGTAAAGCATGTCAAACTATTTCTCTTCCTGTCACCACACTTCTCTGCTGAAAACTGTCCTCTTTGTTTTAGCAGTGACACTACATCGTTAACTATTCATGAATTCTTAATCTACAACTCCTTAGTTGTAGTTTTCATATGGATTCCTATAAAGAACTGTCAGGACGGTAGAAGAGAGCATACCTGCTAATACCATCCTGCCTTTTATTCTCTTAATAACAAATAATTAGAGTGTTAACTATGTACCAGATTACAGTTCTATACCTACCTACACTTGACTTTTGCTATAGTCTGAATGTTTTTGTCTCCTTCAAATTCGTATTTTGAAATCCTAACTCCCAAAGTGATGCACTAAAGGAGAGGCTTTTGCGAGGTGATTAGGTTATGAGGGTAGATCCCTCTTAGCTGGTTATTAATTTCCTTACAAAGTAATTCCAGGGGGATTCCTCATCCCTTCCTCCACATGAGTACAGTGAAAAGCTCCCTCTGTAGGAAGCAGGCTCTCACCAGATACTGATAACGCTTGAGCCTTCATCTTGGAATCCCAAGCCTTCTTCACTGTGATAAAGAAATTTCTATTGTTTATAAGCTACCCAGTTGATGGTATTTTGATATAGCAGCTCCAGCAGCCTGACAACTTTCCAAATATGACTAAAGAAATCATTTCAACAAAATTTACAAAAGGTTGCAACACAAAATATACAAAGTAGTTCCTAATCATTACCTAATAAATCTAAAATCTTGCATAACAGCCTCTTAAAGGTGGACCACCACTATCAACCATTCACCCGCATTTATGTAGTATAATTTAATGCCTTGATTCTCAGCTCTGTGACCTTTTTCTCCCTCCTCACAGAATCACACCAATAAGTGACAAAGTGAGATATCCAGAGACCCCTCTATGATAGTCTTCACTTATCTGTAAGCTTTACCTGAAAGTCATAAATCTCAACTGAAAAAGCCACCTGGTCCCATACACACATTTAAAAACTGCCATTCACCACTGTCCACAAACCAGAGCTTCAGACCTGAGTTTGCCAACAGCTCTAGGCTGGAGTCACCTATTATACAAAACCAACTCAACTTCCTTACATCTGGGCATCATCAGTTTATTTGCTGACCTTTTGCCCTCAACATCCCCCAACATCTTTTAGGTAAATGCATTAGTCATTTTGTCAGGTGTAAAAAGACATACACAGCACGTGCACAGGCTCTGATGCCCACAATACGCAAAAACTTGAAGGTTTAGTGATCGCTTAAATCCCTGGTGTTGCATAAAGGGCCTTGATAAAAACATAAATATTTGCAAAGCAGCCCTCCCATATTTGTCGCTTTGGGGACGCAGGGTTCCTAAGTTAGGAATGGGATGCCGGCAACACTCTGTCACCTCACACAACCCCTAAGACAAGGAAGCCAAGGGAGGCGGCTGGCAGGCCCGGAGTTCGGACAGGGGCCAGCTCCCGGAGTGACAGCGCCGGCCGGCGCTCCCAGACCCTCACCTCTCTTGTCCAGGAGCCACATGAAGGCGAAGCAGGGCAGGAAGCCAATGGGCCCCCAAAGCACCAGCAGAGCGATGTCCCAGCTGGAGAAACCGTAGGCCTGGCGCGCTGAGTTCTGGATGGGGCCCCAGGTGTTCCACACCAGGCCCTGAGCGAACGCCAGCAGCGAGAAAAGGAGCAGCACCAGCCAGCGGCGCCCGTACACCCGCCCGGGACCCGGGGCCGTCTCGGGCAGCGCCGCCGCCGCCGCTTCCTGGCTTCTCCAGGCAGCCCCCGGCCCAGGGCCGAGCCCGGACCCCAGCAGCGGCTGCCGCTCCTCCTCGCTGCTCCAGCCCGAGCCCATGGCAACGCGCCGCCCGCGGGCCTCCAGCCCGGTGCTGCCCGCGTCGCCGCCAACTAGTCCAGCGCAGAAGCCGCCGGAGGAGTGCGAAGAGGAGGTTGCTCTGCTCGCCCTCAGTCTCCCGACCGCGCCCGCTGCGCCTGCGCCGCTCGAGCAGCCGGGGGAGAGGCGGGGCAGGCTGCAAGGAGGCCGGGATCCGCCCTCCCCGCAGGGTGCTGGGGAAAATGCTGGTTAGGGTACGCGACAAGCCGGGGCCCCACAGGGAGGGTCGAGAGACGTCGAAATTTTCGCAGGGAGGAATGCATCAGAGGAGCGCAGCATAGCTGGGGAGAAGGAAACGGGTAGGGAGGCCGTTAGGAGGTTGGGCAAGGACCCCTGGAATTGTTGGAGTTAAACTCTGAGCCCAGTAACTCGGTGACCCTTAGTCACTTAATCTAACGCTTGATTCTATTATAGGAGGAGATAAAGTAAGATTGAGGTGTTGTCGAATCCCAGGAATTTCCTGTTTGATTTCTATGTTCAGTTAGTACTGCCCCGTTTAGTTAATTTTTTGTGTGTTACATATCAAATGAGATTGTAAACTGGCCAATTTCATCCGTATATAAAAAAGGATACAATGTTTCTATCCATTTTGCCTGTCATTTAATAGGCGAGCAATAAAGATATGCCGATTAATGCTGAAAGATTTTTTGTCTCAAAGTGATCTAAATACATATCCGGTTATATTTTTGATCAAAGAGTAAACGAACAGAAAGGTGGAAGTTGTTGATCTATTTATCAGGCGGCTGTTTATTTTTGATATGCTAATCCAGAAGCCCTGACAGCTGTCCATCGGTGTTCTTAAAAACCTAAGTCCGGCAGTCTGGCTTGTTTGAGTCTAAGGAACTCAATTAAAGAGTACTTTGCCTGAGGGTCGCATTCTGGCAGCCACGTAAACCAGATGGAGTTCCATGGTTGCCAGAGGGCAAAATAGGTGGAAGAGAAGCGTGAGTTACCCTAGTGTTCGAGGCTGGTAAGTCAGTCAACGCAGAGACCCACTTCACCGCCCGGAGCCCCACAGGACAACAAACCACCCACTAAAACTCCAATCCTGTTGGGTGGATAAAAGCCAAGGCGGATGGTAAGGCCCTAACTAGAAAACAAGGAGAGGCGGAAACGAAGCTAAGACTATTAAAAAAGCTCAGTTCTGTGGACCTTGAAAGGCGCCACAACCCACACCACGTGCTAGCATTTCAAACCCCAGGAATCAAAACAAAGATACAAGCCCCACCCAGCGCCCGTCACGTGACTCCCAAGTGCGCCAGCGCTTCCGGTGGAGACCGGCGGGAGCGGCGGGAACTTCTTCCTGTAGCGCCGCTCCAGATCCCGGATCTGGCCTCTTCTCTGACCCCACATCGGGCCCTCTCCAGTTTAGGTTCTGACACAGTCCGCCTTCTGGTAGCTATGGCAGCGGACTCAGAGGCGACCGCTCGTCTGACCTGTCCAACTGGAGCTGGACGGGAGGAAGGTACATGGCGGGCTGAGGTCAGACCCAGAATGCTAACCCGGTGCCAGCTGACTGTCATGGCACCTCTCGAGTGGCCGTTTTCCTTAACCCCGTCCCACGTTTCCCTGGTCTTGCATTAGGCTATGAGGAAAATTACGTATTTTCTAATGAACAATTTCTGGAATTGTGGCATTCAGATTTTTGTTCAACGTACGATCCTCGTATCCGTGTATTCTACCTGTGCTGTTTCACTCTTAGCGGTGTTTTGAAAGTCGGTGGATTAAAGTTAAACTTGTGGAATTGGAACCAGCCCTTGAGGTGAATGGGAATAATTTGGGACTTTGCAGACAGGATATATGAGCTCTGATTCGATTTCAGCGAACCCCGCTTTAGCAAGTAGATGAGGTTTGGAAGCTCTTGAGCCTGAGATCCCTATTCTGGATACTGCCACGGCATCCGGAGACTTTTGAATGTTTGAATGTTTCCTTGGAAAAAGGAACATTAAATGCATACATTGAGTAAAGGAGCCTAGAAAGGAAAAAGATTGACTTGATACGTGGTCATGTGAATTAAACCATCTATAGTACATACACCGACTGGGAGAAAGGACCCCAGTGGGGAAAACAAATTCTTGAAGGAAGAAATAATTTGAGATGGGCTGTTCTGGTTGGATGAGATAGTGACAAAATCAAGTAGTAGTGCTGGGGGCTCAGGAAGACAAGGAGCAGAAAAGTGCAGGATGGATGTATTTGGTGATCACATAGTTGCCTAGAGAGGGAGATACCCATACCACACAGAAAAGCAAATTATAACCTCCTATTAAATGACCCCTTTCTCCCAGGGAGACAGTTCTTGAGCTTCATGTGTATCACTAATCCGTTGATCCTTCCACTTTCTGTCCACTGATTGCCTTTTTCCAGTTTCATATGCATGCCATAGTTTTTAGTTGTAAGCTCTACCTTGAAAATACATGATTCTCTTGTTCCTCTTTGCATTTTATTGGAAAAAAAAACTCTTACTCCAGATGAACCCAACCTTTTGTCCTCTTAGACCCTGCATCTATAGCTAGAAAAATCCTGCACAAAGATGGTATTATAAAATGAAAATTGCCAGACTCTTGAATATTCACTCAGTATGGGCCTGAAAACTTTCTGGTCTTTGTTTCTCTAGAAAGCCTACTTTCTAATGTTTTCCAATAACAATTTTCTCTATAACCTCTCTGCCTCTCTTTTAGCAGATGACTTTGTAAGTCAGTTCAATTCTGCATCTGATCTCCTTTTTTCTCCTTCACTATCAGACTCTAGTCCAAATCATCCACATTTCTCACCTTAACTACTACTATACCTTCCTGACTTGCATCTCTGTTCTCTTCAATCCCTTCTCCATTCAGCAGTGACAAGTGACTCTCCCCTGTATAAAATTCTTAAAGGAATTTTGTTGCCCTTAGAATAAAACCAAGAATTTCTAATCATGGCCTACAAAAATCTTTGGTCTGAGCTCTGCTTATGTCTTTAGCGGCGTCTCTTGTCACTCACCTCCCTCCTATTTTTCATATAGCTGGTTTCTCAATCTTCCCAGACCTTACCAGACTTAACTATGTAAGACAGTCAGGGTTGTTCCCTCCCACCTCCAGCCCTAGATGATCTTAATATAGCATCTATTTCTGTCATTTACTTATCACAATCTGTAGTTACTTGTTTATTACTTGTTTTTTCCATTAGATCCTAATCAGGGTACTACTTTGTGTCCAGCAGCAAGTACAATGCCACATACATAGTGGGTACTTAATACATACTGGTTGAATGCATGAAAAAGGGAGCTCCATGCCAAGTCCAGAGGCAAAAGGAGAAAGAGCATGTCATGATCCAGGAACTGAAAGAAGTTGGTGTGAGGAGTGGTGAGAAAAGAGGGAT